AGAGCCTGGTCCGGTGAGAACCCGGCGTGCTCCTTCCCGGCTTTGTAGGGATGCGAGGTCAATGGTCTAACGACTACGGCATGCACGACTATGAGTACACCACCCTCCCCCAAGAGATTTCCGACAGCAACGCAACAATCGGGCGGATTCCGCAAAATCCAGCATGCCAAATCTTCATTCCAACCCCATCATAAACAAAAGTACAAACCGAAACAAGGAACCAACTTATATCAAAGAAAAAGACGCCACACGTCCAGCACATACCAGTCTGCCGTGCAGGCCTGTCTGGGAAGGAAAATGGTACTCCGCAAGGATTGACTCGTCGGGTACCGGTACATCGGAGGGACAGAGAAACCGTGCGTGGCCCAACGTCTTCGTCCAGCAAGTCCCACGCCAAGCCAACGCCTTCGTATATTCAGCAGCATCAGAAAAACATAGCGGTAACTACAATAGAGAATGTTATCCCAACAAAGAAGGAAAAACCAAAGTGGGACAAATCGTACGCAGAAACTACACCACCACCGCCACTTGAGTTTGTCTGACGAACAACAGCCCCCCGGCCGCAACACTCCAATTGCATGCCAGAAAAGCAACAATAATCTACCATGGAAATTTCCTGCCATTTTGCCGTGGAAGATAGTGTCCCTGCAAGATAAAACGCGAGTGGACATCTCTACAGAACAAAACCAAAGCAAATCCAAACCTGCGAATGTGGCAACGGTTGGAAAAGCGATTTGCAGACATTCAAACAAGGGTGAAAAAACGAAGCAGATATATTGCGATCTGAAGACCAACCACAAAAACAACAGATTGAACAACACCAAATCAAAGCAAAAATAATAGGCACTCAAACATCACGTGCCTTGGCGAGATTAAGATCCCAGCAGAAGTCGCGCTGCTTGCCGTCGTTGTTGGATTCGCCCGATCCTCCGTACTCCCTTCTCCGCTTCACGGTCCTCCTGCCGCTGCTCCGGTCACGAACACAGGCGCCCCGGCCGTTGCCCCCGCGACATCTTTCCACGGTCGAACGGGGTGTCCACCCCCAGCACCAGCCCCACTCTCCCAGCCTTCAGCCGGCACAGCTTCCCCGGGTCGAAGGGGCGCAGCAGTGCCCGAAACCAGGCCACATCCATCCCTTCTGCTTCGTCTTTCCTACTGCTGACGCTGCCGCTGCTGCTGCCGCTGCCGCTGCCGCTGCAGGAGCCACCGACCAGGTCGTCTACCCCGGGATCGTTGGCCCCGCGCACCCCCGTCGCGGGTGGTGCCGTCACCGATGTCGCCACTCCAGACCCCGATGCCCCCGCTGTAGCCACCTGCGCGGGTCCTCGAGCCATTCTCCCCGCCGCAGCAGCGAGAGAAACAACACCATCGGGTGCCGCCGCCGTCGCCGCTGGAACCGCCGTCGATGTCGACGCTCCAACCACCAACGCGGGCGCTCTGGTCGATCTCTCCGCCACCATCGCGGATATAACAGTGTTGCCGATCACCGCCGCCGTCGCCGCTGGAACCGCCGCCGATGCCGCTGCTCCAGCTGCCGCCGCGAGCCCTCCGGGCGCTTCCTTCGCCGTCGCTACGAGGGAAATACTACCGCCGCCGGAGGTCGCCGTTATCGCCGCTGGAGCTGCTGCCGAGGCCGCTGCTCCTGCCGCCACTGCAGGGGCCCCGGCCATTCCCCCCGCCGAGGTCGCGGGGAGAACACCATCACCAGAGGTCGCCGCCGTTGCCGCTGGAGCTGCTGCCAGTGCCGCTGCTCCTGCTGCCACCGCGGGGACTCCGGCCATCCCCCCTGCCGCCGCCGCAGGGGGAACACTGCCGCCAGAGGTCGCCGCCGTCGCCGCTGGAGCGGCTGCCGATACCGCCGCTCCAGCCACCAGCGCAGGCGCTCCGGCCATTGTCTCCGCCGCAGCAGCAGGGAAAACATCACCGCAGACGCTGCCACCAGCGTGAACCATGTCGACAGAATCATTCCATCCAAACCATCCGTCATCATCCACCGTCCACAGCGCCGCCAGCGTGAACCAGGCCGACAAAATCAGAGCGGTGCGCGCTCTCTGCCACCACCTCGACGCCAACGTGAAACAGGTCAACAAAACCAGAGCGGTGATTGTTGTCTACCACCACCTGCTGCTGTACGACCGGGCTTCCGCCGCCGCCGCCACCGATGTCGATGCAGCTGCCGCCGCCATTGACGCCCATTCAGCAGCCACCGCGGACGATATGGCCGTCATCCTCGCCGCTGCTGCCATGAAGATGCACGGCGCAGTTCCGCCACATATGGCCGTACTGACCACAGGCGCCGCACGTACCCTCGAACCTGCGGGGTGCGGCGCATTCTCCGCCGTGGTGGCCGTTCCTGCCGCACCGCATGCAATGGCGTACCGTACCGAGCGGAGGGGGTGATTCCTGCTGGATATGCACGGCGTTGCTCCCGCAGTCAAATATCCCACCAACTCCGCTTGGCGGCGGCTGCTGTTGCTGCCGCACGGATTGCTGGTGCTGCCGCGCCTGTTGACTCTGAGCGAAAACGCAGTGTTGGTTCTGCTGACGGACGAAACCATCACGATAATACTGCTGTAACTGCGATGGCTGCTGCTGCGATTGAGCACTCCATCTCTGCTGTTGCTGCTGCTGTTGTTGTTGTTGTTGTTGTTGCTGGTGCTGCCTAAGTCTCTCGTTCTCATACTCGGCAGCCTCCGCAGCCCTAAGCGCCTTCACCAGCCTCTCCACCTCCGACTCAGCAGCTCGTAGCTTCTCTGTTGCGTCGCGCGACCTCTCCTCCATCTTGATGCGAACAACTGTAGTTTCCTCCCTGTGCGAAATCTCCTCCTCCTATTCCGCAGCTTCTCTCCGCTATAATCTACACTTGAAAAATACCCCGTACCCTGCTGTCCCAGCCCTGAAGCGCTGTCCCAGCAATACACCCTCTGCTGTCCCGGTCCCCGATGGTCACCAGCTATACACTACCCGCTGCCGTGCTGTCCCGTCCCCGTTGGCTAGGTCCCAGCTTGGCTATATATATCGTAGTCGCCGCCCCATTGGCCCGGCACATAAAGCTCAGATGCCAATATCCACAACCAACACCAGGCCATACAATATTTTGTGTTTGTGTGCGGTAGCTCGTCACAGGCCGAAAGAGACAGAAGGTTGACTCAAGACCTTGTTGCTTAGAGAGTAAGAGACATGCGGTAGGCAACACCATCGCCATGCAGCATGCCCATCAACAAATTTCATCCGCGTACCCCCCTGGAGGTCCCGCAGACAGTCTACTCTGCCGAGCAGCCCAAACAGCATGGTTTTGTGCGACGATGTTTTCGAAGCATCAGTTGACGCGTTTTCCCGGAGGCATCCGTCCCGAGTCTTTTTGACGCGGCGACTCGGATGTAATGTTGATCCCTGCTGAGCATTTTCCAAGGATAATTCTTTGTTTTTACTTCTTGATGATTTGCTGCGATGGAGATGGTGTTTTCTCGAAACGGGCGATTAATAATTTATGAATTCTCAAGATCCGTGGTGGCCGAAGGAAGAGTAGTAACGTGAGGTTTGAATATTCGATAGATCCGGGAGTTGAGATGATTTGTGGATATGAAAGATGGATGGTTATTGGGGTTTGCTGTCGTTGCAACTGGAGATACGTACGGAGGATTTCTTCGTAGATCATACTCGTACCGAGAAGGGGGGGTGTTTGCGTGTGTACTCGACAGAGTACGGATCGGCGAGATCTCCGGGGGTTACCCAGATGTGATGGGTATTGGTGTGATGGACTTTGACGCGCTGGGCTCTTCTTGCCTTGCTCATGTCTCACTCTCTAAATAATAGAGTAACTTGAGTCATCCCTTGGTGCAGAAACGCTATCGACCAGACACCCGCGAGAGCAATGACGAAGTACACGCTTCGGCACCCCAAACATCTTTCCGCCCTCTGCCGTACGTTGTTGGCACTGGCCCACTCCTGACGTGTACTGCTTTCGCTACCGTCACCCACTGGACTGCTTTTGCCGCGCGGTCGTCGTATCTGACAAACAGGGCTGCTCTCCCAAGCGCGAAGCCCCCAGCGTGACCAGGCCTCCTAAATGTGATGAATGCCTTCGGAGTTTCTCACCTCCTCTCTCTGCGGGTTCCCCACCGTAGACTGACTGCGGAAAGGTTAAAGGTTTTAGGATGATGCAATGTATTTACTGAGCACCTGTTATTCTGGTCAAGTTCTTGAGTGTTTTGTGGCTTGTGCCCGCCCGCCCGTGTGGCAAGAAACCAATTTTTGCAGTGTCTCATTGATTAAGCCCAGGCTACTTTGCCATGTTAAACCATATGGTTCAGACGTACTGTAGCTGTAGTGTGTGGTGACTGCTTTGAGCCCGGTCCCTTGTGCTACTGCTGTGCTACTGTAGTGTGTGCCCTAATGCTCTTCTGCAGACCAGTACAGCTGAAGGAAGAGGAACACTCTGAGCCTCGACATCTCGTGGTGAGATGTTTGCGTTCGTGGGCCGGCAGTTCAATCGAATGAGCATCATCACTACTGTACGTCTTCATAGTGCTCATGTGGTGCCGTCGTTCACCTCGTGCAACGCAGCAAGTACGTAGAGTCACCTTTTGGTGGTGCTGTGTTTGCTGGTTGGATTCTGATCGCACGGTATGTTTACCCCGCGACACACCTGGCTTTGAAAGCCGCACGTGCATGGCCTCGCGGCAAGTCTTGCCCCTCTCCGCAGCCGACATCCGAATCTCTTCCATGTCGCCCGTGGATGTGTTGATGTACTACATGATACGCAGGAGCAATGGAGTGGCATAGCACCTCCGTCACAGACCCGACCCGCCGGAGGACGATATATATGCTCCGCCCGTCGGCCGAAACGCGTGGTTTTTCGGTTCTGAACCAAAGTATTTAAGCGGGTGAGCGAGTGCTATAGCCGTATGTGCTAAGTTCGTGCCACAGCAAGCAGTGGTGCACATGCCCATAGCGAAAGAATCGCGTGAGCTCTGCGTCCAGCGCAAACACAAAAAAATTAGGGACGGCTACCCGCTAAGTAGTGAAGAAGGGCGGAGTCCGGCAGCTCGACAACCATCGCGTGGGTTTTGGATCAAGCTACTAGAGTGCCTCTTCGGCCCCTTCCTTGGCGCTGTCGAACATTCTTCTTGTGGTATTCAAAAATCAAAAGCATACATCTTGGACTTATTTCTTTAGATAGAGATGGATTCGTTGTGTGATATCAAGAAAAAAAAAATGCCAGCACGAACAGACTCGAAATCGAAAATCGAAAATGCCAACCGGAACATCAAGCTGGCTGCCACACCCTCACAGAATCGTACATGCCTCCATTTCGATACTCGTCTAGCCACCTGTAGATTGCTTGGTGATGCGAACAAGAGCTTGGCAGAAAGCTGATATCCAGCAGAGCACGGTATACTTGCTTTGAGCGAGATCTGCTCTAAGTTGAGAGAGAGTCATCGCGGTGAAATTATTTGGGTAAACGCAGTTCAACGGCGGCTATATTTTTGGCTCTCCTACATCAGCACGCACCATTCAATCACACATTGCTCGCTGATTTCGAACCGTATCGATGCGAGACAAAGACCCCCACCCCGCCTGATCATGGCCGTTGTTCGGAGCTATCGTTCGCTGTCTTGGATGCCGTGTGGCTCTCATGGTCATGGTTTGAATCATCGCAACTGGCATGTACGAGTCTTGTTCGCCTCTTCAACCTTGATTTTCGATTTCGATTCTCCGCCTGCGCGGTGTAGAGCCAACCCGGAATCGAAAATCTATCTTATCTTTTCAGAGGTAGAGATGATTTCGTTGGGTCATGATAAGAAAATACAAAACTCTAATTAAGGAGAAATAGATACACGCGAAACTCTAATCTAATTTCGATTTCGATTTTCGAGCAAAATGTTTTCGACAAGGTCCACCACGCTGCAAAAAAAAAAAAGGTCGTGTGAACGAGCCGCAGGTTACCGTTCGCGCTAATTCGCCGTGAAATCAGGCCGCTACCCGCTACCCTCGACCCGCCCTCTAACACGCATGCCCACCGTTCTGCCCACAGGCCTTCTTCCCCCCACCATGCAGCCTGCACGCAACGCGTAGAAAATAAACGCACTGCACACACGTTGGCTCTGGTTCTCGCGCTTGGGCTGATCTGAGAGAGAGGTCAGTTGAACCGCCACTTACTTGCTGCCAGCCACGTCACGATTGATTGCGTACATACCCAACTGCCTGGTGGCTGCTTTGATGTTTCGATGGTTCAACTCACACCGGCTCAAGACTTTACTGCGAGCGCATGCTCTCTTAGTTTTCAGCAAGCGCCCGATATAATCGCGAATGGACAAGGGGGTCATGCCTCGCATACTGCTGGTGTGTTTCACACTTCGAAGTATTTTTTGCTGGCATGCTGCGGGCGGCGCGGTTTGGAAATTTGTTTGGACCTTGAACCATTCGATTGAATAAAACCCCGCGAAACGCTGATAAATAGTCTAGAGACACACAAGGTATCCCCTCAAGGGGGTGCTTGAACAGAGAGAGAGGTATCAAATATAACGTCCTACTTGTGTTTGTGAGTGTAGACTAATAGGGCATGTGCACGATGTATCTCGACGGGAAATCACTGTTGTGTCGGCCCACGGGTGGCCTACACACCGGGTTGTAGGGGCACTTTTGGCAACCTGAATCGAGATTTATTTTGGCACGAGTTGCAACCTCCTCACCTTGGGTAATCCTCGCAATGCAACGATGGCCAAGTCGTGCAAGGTATACCTTTCTTGGAGGTTGCGCGTGGTTTACAAGTCGGATAGGGGGCAGGTTGCCGATGGTATTGCAAGGTGCCCTTTCTTGGTGGTTGGTGCACTGCTTACAAGCTGGACAGCGGGAAGGCTGCCGATGGCAGCGCAAGGTGTACGCTTTC